GCACAGAGGTTCCATGAGTCTCAGACTATGATTCTGAAGTATTTAACATGAGAGATGCAAGTCATGCCATCCTGAACAGCAGCACAGATGTCAGTGACACCAGGAACACACACCACCACCTTGCTGTCAGAGCAGTCACAAATACATGATATGGCATTTAAATCAATTATAGGAAAGCAAATTATACCCAATGATCACAAAGCTCAAAAATATGTGAGCATACTTACATAATTTTATGGGGCTAAAACACCTTGTTCTGACACCAAGAGAGCTAAAGATGGTTTTAATATCTGACCAAAAAACAAGCACAAAGACCAATGTATCACTGCTGGATTTTGCATCTGCTGACCATTTAAAGTCTCCATTCCCATCAATAAGAAGAAACAAAGAAGAAAACTCTCTTCATAAATAGGAACTGGCATTGTCCAATGACAGAGTAGTGCCCAGTTCATTAAGGATCATATTCCATGCCAAATTACAAAAACTTTTGAAAATTGCAATGTAATAGCACTAGCTTCCTGTAGAGTCTCAAGATAAAGCCTTTTAAAAATGCATACTCCTTCTGGCAGCACTGAATAGGGCTAAAAACTTCAACAGTGACAAAACTAGAAATACTTGTCTTCAAGATAAATCAATAAATGTGACTCAACTGTAATCACACAATAAAACTTAGTCCCTTTGCATTCTCTGTACCCCTACTGATAGATGATGAAAAAGGCTGTCAGTATCTCTAGAACCTGGACACCTGCCTTAGGCATTAACAGCAATAATATTAATAACAATATTTATCTATATTTTACAGTGGGGTGGGGAGGGTGCAGAAGAGCCTATTCCAGTGCTTAGGATATTCTTCAACTACCCAAGTCAAACACATCCATATTCTAATAACTAAATTGTTCTAAGAAAGCCAACTCAAAGAAACTTGTCTTAGGCAAGGCTCCCTACTCTTTGCTTTCTGGAAAGCTGAAAACTGCTCAAAGTCACTTTAGCTCTCCCTTTTTGCTCCTGCATACAGCTGCATTAAAGTAAGTTCTTTCAGTAGTGCTGGAAGCTACTTCCAAGGGTGAAACAGAGGCCACTGCTTTATAAGAAGTTGCCTTAGTTTATAGTAGATATTTCTGAAGTTCTTGTTATTATTCAGAAGGTGGTGGTTATTTAATAGCCCACTAATTGAATTAGTCTCCAGTTTTGGTCTTTAAGCTCCACTCTGTGAATAAAAATTATAAAGAGAAACAGTTCAAGCATGTTCCAGCATAGCTGCCACATTAAGACAGAGTCAATTGCATGCATTAATCTTTAATTAAGAGCATCAGAGGAACTATAATATAGCAACTATAGTACTGGACTAGCTACAAAAAGCCTTCATTCTAACCCCAGATCAGCTACGGATTTGCTGTGCACCTCCCATGAGAGGGGGGAGAGAAACACTGCTCGAAGTTCTCCTTTTCCTTTATTTCTTTTGTCTGCCTTACCATTTCTTTTTGTAGTAGCTGTGGCCAGGGCACTCCCTGCATGAGCAAAACTCCACCATGGCTCTGCAGCATTGGGTGAGCAGCCCAGCTGCTAAATGCAATTAACAGAAACATCAACAGAATCTGACCTATCTCAAGAAGGTTGTAAATTTTTGGCATTTCTATAACTTCTCTATAAACCAAAGAGAGGCAACCTGTAGCAAGGAATAATAAAAGCACACAAATTACTTCCAACAAGAACATTATGGTCCATCTTTGTGAAACCTTCCTTACTACCAGAATTGCTATGCAAACTGATATGCTCTTGCCTTTTTCCCAGTGATCCAACTTTACATATTGATTAGCCTCTCCAAAATGGATATTTCCCAGTAAATGAGAGCATGATGCAACCAGAAGAGAGCTGATGCTTCTCTTTCATTGAGCTCTGTCACCTCCCTTTCAAGCTGCCTTAGATTAGCACAGGTTCTTGTCTTTCCTGCATTCCCCAAACTCTGCCTGTGCCAAATCTTGCTGTTTTCCCCCTGGAACCACAGGACGTCAGGAATCTGAGAAAGAAATTTCTCTTCCACATCCTTATCTCTAACTTTTCCCAGTCCCCTCATGCTAATATTCCTTTTCTCACACAACCATCAATGGTGGTACTATCATCAGCATTAGTCTCCAACTCTTCCTAAGGGATGTACACCTTTATGGGAAACATACCTTTATTTCTCCAGATAGGTTTCTGATTCAGGCAGGATTTGCACACCAAAAAGGCAAATATGTTCTATTTCGAGTGATTCTGTGCAATACATGTTATCCAACTACCTCAGCTTTCATCTTCCTCTGTCAACATGAAAGTTTGTCCTCTATTTGTTCTACAACCACCAATCTATGAACACCCATAAACACTTAGTCAAAGATAGTGTGCCTGGAAAAGCACAAGGTCTTTGTGACCCATTTCCAGAGGGTCCTACTACCCCCGGTAACTTCTCAACAAAATTCCCTCTCCATCCACCAGCAGAGAGGCAAGACTGCACAGCTCACTAGAGGGGCTGAGGTTAAAGCAGAGCAATTCCCTAGCTCTCAAGGAGAGGCTTATCATGGTCTGTTCACATTCCAGGACAACAAAACCTCTACTTCTCACACAACCAGCTTGCCTCAGGCTTTTCTCTGCATTCAGACATTTGGCTCTCCTTCCCCATGCTAGATAAAACACTCCCCTGAGGCAAAATTTTTTAGTAAGCACTTTGATCTCAGAAGCAGCTGGTGCACAGCTGCTCCCCATTACTTTTGCAGCTCTCAGGAACCGTTTGCATTTTCCTGTCCTCTCTTACAGGCAGGCACAAAGGGCAAGAACATCACCAGCAGCCATCTTTCATTCTCAGGCAAAAACTTTTATTTCCACTTCATTCGTCCTGCCCAATTCTTCCTTGAACTACTGCCCACCTTGCTCGGTCTCAGATCTTCCCTCCTAATGGGATCCCCAAACATCTGAGCAATGCCTTCCTATTCCTCTTCTCAGCAAGGGTGTCCTCCATACTTGGGAATTTCCTGGAGAGACACAGTACTCCATACAGATGGTAAAGGACAGGCTGCTGTATCTCATCCCAGGAAAAAAAGATTTCCTTGAGTTAATTTTTTTTTTTTTTTTTTTTGGCAGGAGGTAAGAGAGGATTAAATTCCACCCCAATTTTTCTTCTCTGCAACTACAAAATCCAGCAAGCACAGGAAATTCTCTCTCCTTAGAGGTGAGTGCAACATTGGACCTTGCTAGGAAGCACAGATCTGGTTAGCACAGTATCACCTCACAGAACCCAAGATTAGACCAACTGCAATGCCTATTAACAGTACGAGGTTTCTCAATTTTACTTTATACCAGTTTAAAGAAAACAGGAGAAAGCTAGAAACCAGCCCAGAATCTCAAGTTACAGCATTCACAGACAGTATTTTAATCCCTTCCCTAGCTGGAAAAGCCATTTGAAGCCACCATCAGCAGACAACTATGGACTGTAGGATGCAGCACAGCCACTACAACACCGAGCTTTGAGAAACGCTTGCAGTCCATTGCCTATCTACACAGGAGGTGAGGGTAACTACTGACCAATCTGCTTCCAGGAAGGCTCAAGTAAAAACTCGACCTTCTGGTCAAGATGAAAAAGGAAGATACTTATTGTTACCAGTTTCTTTTATATAAGCCCATAATGCCTCAACAGACACTTTCAAAAGCAGACTTCAGTCAACAACTCAAGTGCTTCACATTGACACACAGTAATGAAACACAACCATGTTAAGTATTCCCTAGTCATATGCCAAGGCAAGAATTTTCCCAGACTCTTATACCATTGTCTATTTGGTTTGTGATTGTGTGAGTCTGTGTCTGTACATGTAACTTCTGCTCTTGGGAGCCTACTAGAAACATCTCATGGGAGCACAATTTTGAGAAACAACGTCATGACTTACAAAACTGTTTGCTGATTCATCAGAGCTGTGTTTGCAGGACATGTAGCAGAACCTGAGCAAAAGGTTATGGGTAGTGGAGGGGTGTGGTAGACAAATACCACCTGGTAAGTCATCCAGCATGATTCTCCTCACTGAAGAGAAACAATAAACAGATAAAAGTAGAGCTTAGCTGCTTCCAATGGTCTTTCTGCTTTTCTGTGCCACTCACCCTGACATTTCCACTAGTTTTTTCCCAGTTTCCAGTACCAGTCTCTCACTCCATCAAGTGAACAACTTCAATTTTAGCACTGCATTGGTACTTTAATGTGTACTCACTCCTTCAAACAAACTCAAAATCCCACCTTCCCATGGATTTCTACAGGAGTAGCATGGATTCTTTATAGCTGCCTGTGCTCTCAGCATTACTACTTACTGTTAATGAAAGCTGGTTCACATCAAGTGCATTGTGTAAGGGCACATCCACAGCTTCCATTGCAGAAACGTGTCTGCAATAGCATCACAGTGGGATTCAGCTCAGTGACCTGCCCTGTAAGCAAGAACCACACCCTCCCTTTGAAAGTAGAGATTTTCTGTGTGGGGGTGTGTGCGTGTAGGTCAATTAGGAAAGGAAGCAGCAGACTTTTGCATCACTGTCAGAAACACACTTCTGATAATTGTTCTGTGTTCTGCAAAATCGGGGACAGGTCAGTAAGCCTTCACTTTTTCCACGTTTAATGGGTTATTCTCCTACCCCCTACCAAATCAGGGAGAACACATCCCCCCTCTTTGGTTATTTTGATAGGATGTAGCCTGTAATATCTTTAACAGGGATATGAAGGTTTAGCAGATCTTTAATGTAAAGAAATAAAACAATCCCGAAAGAAGCTTTCCTGACAAATATTTTAGCTAGCAATCTGTAAAGCTAACTTTCAAATTTCAAATTTGCTTCTGGAAAAGAGGATTCCTGAGAAAAACTGTCAAAAGCTTACCTTTTCCTAAAAACTGTGAAGTTTTGTGAAATTTTTCAGAAGGCATTGTGTAACAGTGAAGAAACAAAGATCCATTCCTTCCATTGGCTACAAATAACAAAAACATGATCAGACTTAATCTGTTACATAACTACTTGTATAAAAAATATTTTATTAGTTTTCTGTCAGTAACAAGAGATTATTAGAGAACTTCTTCTGTGGACACAGCTTTATGGAGGACAATCATCATGAGCTCCTACAGCCATCTGAAGCCAATAGTCCAGATTTCTAAAAATGACAAAGTTGTACAAGTTCTCTCCTCCTTTGTGAAAACCATGTTCACTTTCTCTCCAGGACACAGGGCTGTCTGCAAAGCCATGCACAGTTAAGGTCAGCCAATATGCCAGTTTTGGTTCACCAAAATAGCAACTGCAAGAGAGAAGACAAGATAATCAGTGATTATAATGGAATAGGCAGGTAGACCTTCAAGTCTACAGTACAAAGTCAAACAATCAAAGAAACACTTCTTAACAAAAATTCTAAACACTTCTAAACAAAATTTATTAACAGTTTAAAAATTTAGTCCATAATAAATAAACTCAAAAGAAAATATTCAGAATGCATTAGGGACCAAAGCATTAGGGACTATCTATTATTCCTATCATAGTTTTATGCATGGCAAATCTGCAAGTTGTAGCCACTAGAAGAAGTTCCAAGTTGTAAAGTAGCAGTTCTGACTTTCCTACAGTATGCACTGTCTTTCAGAAAATTTAACATTTAATGAGAACAATTGCTAACAGGGAAGAAAAAAGACATTGGAGGAAGTAACATAGTCTAAGGCTATGCTTGACACAACTACTTTTACCACCAGAGAGGAAATAGATTATGAATAATCAAAGCCAGATACTATCCACTCTGCATTTTAAAAATGTAGGAGTACCTACAGCCAGTTCCTTAGAAATTCAGATAAAAACCAAAATCCTGACGAGAATACAGGGTGGGCTTTTTCAAATTCGAGGCATTCAAAATTGTTTATTACTTTTTTTATACTGATGTCAAGCTTCTAGCTCATTTCCTAATTAAAACAGAAGTCTACAATTATATATTTTGCTATTTATTTCCAAATGAAAAGTATTTAAAAGTGATTTCAAATAAGAAGTGTTTGAGTACAAGTGCTATAATAATGTGCTCCTGTCAGTCCTTACCACAGCTGCTCCAATAACTGAATAATCTTCTCAGGAATTATAAAGCCTGTGATTGTGCACAAAAAAGCTTTTTCCACTACTGTGTTGGGCTCAGGGCAGCAATAGGTGGATAAGAAGCTGGAGGATTTGTTGTCTCTGGAAGAAAAAACAATAAAGTAACTGAAATAAATATGCTTTAAATATTCTATAGGATGTCTTAGTAATCAGAACTTGTACCAAACAAGTAGGATCTATGTATATAATCTAAATTAATGCCAAGTAACTAATGACCAAGCAATCAATACAAAAGGTCTCCTGGTGCTGTAGGTTAACCCTGTAAGCACCCCAACACCACACAGCTGCTCCCTCACTCACTCCCACCTGGAACTGAAAGGGTAGTGGGAGAAAATGCATGGGTTGAGATAAAGAAAATTTACTAAGCAGAGTAAAAGTTCCCCATGAAAGTAAAGCACACAAAGACATGAATTTACTACTTCCCATGGGCAGGCAGATGTGCAGCCATCTCCAGGAAAACAGGGCTTCTAACAATGCTGGAACTTGGAACATTTCCCACCCATCCTTGCCCCAGCTTTTGCTGCTGGGCAAGTCCCCATATCCCATGATGTGGGATATCCCTCTGCTCAGCTGGGGTCTGCTGTCCTGGCTGTGTTCTCTCCCAGCCTCCTGCCTACCCCCAGCCTCCTCACTGGCAGGGCGGTAGGAGAGACAGAAAGAGGTTTTCAGACTGTGCAAGCCCTACCCATCAATAGCTAAAACATCCCCTGTTATCAACACTCTTGGTCACAGATCCAAAGCACAGCACTACACCCGTTACTGCAAAGAAAATTAACTCTATCCCAGCCCAATCCAGTACATATGGGTACCCCTAAAAACACCAATAAAGTCATTCAAGACTTACAACAAACATTTAACTGCATAGAAGACTCTCACTTACAAAACAGTGTCTGTCTTAATTTTTATTCAACTATTTCTTAAAATAAATTGTTGCTTTCCTTACTTAAAACATTTTCAAAGATCAAACAAATTCAAGTACTTACAAGCTAACTTGATTCAAGACAGCACCCAGCCATTCAAAGAGCTCCTCTGTACTGCAGGACTCCTCTGGTTTTCCTTGTAGATCATTACTTTGTAACACTGGACACGGCAAGTCCCTTAAGGTGCTGAATGTTATTTTTGGCCTCAGGGCCTGTATTTGGTGTTTTGAAAAGTATGACATCAATGTTGATCCCTCTGCACCTTAACAACACAGTACCACAAACAGCTGTTACAAAACTACTAAACAAAAGAAGCAGTGAATACATGAAATATTTAGATATAAACTAAAAAATGCAGTATGCAGTGCGAAACTGCTTGTGTGCTTTTAATCCATGGCAGAACCTTAGAATCGTCAGCTTCCTTATCTTCTTGGAAATAAAAGTTAGTGCAAGATTCAGCAACTTAATACAGCTCAGTAAATTTGCTATCTAACTACGAAGTGTAGATTTGCCAATAGAAAATTCAAGCAGAATTAACTGCATGAGTAATAAAATGAGCTTGTTAAAAAAGATGAACTCAGAGTGTTCCTGAAAAGGAGCAGATAAAATGGAGCAGGAATGTCATCTCAGAACAGCATTCTTCCTGAATAATGGAAAAGTGAACATGTGATTAGAGATTTAAGAACAGATTTATCAATGATGTCAAGAGAAATTCCAGAATAATCTGGAGCGCAAGGACTGAAGAGAGAAGAAAGAGGAGAGGGTAAAGAAATCAAAATACATCACCAAATGTCGCTTTACTAGAATATACTCACCCCTGCTCTCCTCTCCCTGATAACTCTTCAATGCAGTATGGCTGTAAGAATTAAACATCCCTTGATGGACTTGTGGGAAAGCACTAGTAAGAGACCCAAAACAGCAGGTACCTAGACTAAAAAACTAACTTAAGCAGGTATATTTTAAATTCAGAGATATTACCAACTTGCTTTTGAAGCAGGAAGGTAATTGACATGGAATAAATGCTCCTAAATTTCAAATCCTAGATAATATGTGCTATTTTCAAAAAGTAACAATGGGTGTCTAGGAGACCAAGAAATAACACCTTACTCATAAATATTCTAAAGTGCAGAGCAACATCTAAATACCACAGAAAAGGCACGTATAAACAGCAGAAATTCAAGAATAGGGTAGAGTTCACCGTGGAATATTATATCTAAAATTTCCTATGAGAAAATATGGACTGCCTAAAGTCTATCAGCCATTTTTATGTCATCAAGGACAATCATTTAGGGGAATAGAAAAAGGAGAGTTAAGCTCATTTTTTTTTAGTCATTCTTCAAAAAAAGTTTGCTCCAAAGGGAACAATGACAAAGACAGGCAGTCATTGAATTCTTCTTAACTTAGTATTTTTATATAGATATATTTAAGTGCCAGAAGATATGATCTTCCTTACATTCTACTGGCATTTGTTAGCCTAACAGGTTCAAATAATGTATAATATTGCCCTAGAATTCCTAGTAAAATATAGAAAATCATACATTTTACATTTCTGCTGCATGTGGGAGCCTCAGCTATAGCACTAAATGCAGGAAATCTCAAAGACTACAGTCAGACCCTAACAGAACAATTCCTCTATTTACAGCACAGTTTTCTATGTTAACAGCAACCAGGCACATCATCAAAGCTTTTCAGAGACCACTGAATTTTATCCAATAAACAAGTAAATTTGTGATAGAAATTAAAGCAATTGAAAAAAGATTGTATTGCCTCTGTTATTAAAGACATGAGATGTTCCATATTCCCTTTTCCTATTCTCAGTGCCAAAACCACAATGTGGGAAAACTGGGTATGAAAACCAAAGATCCTGCAGTGCTGGCCACAGCAAGAAGCACCAGTTATCAGCAGGAAGGCTGAAAGCAGAATGTTCACAGAGGACACAGATTCTCTTGACAAAACACAGCCCACTTTTTCCCCTTCCAGCAGAATCTACACAATGTCTCATATCTATTATTAAAAACTTATAAAAGTTTTATTTTTGTCAGTACTAAGGAATTAATAGTCTTTTGTGTGTTATGAGCACAAGATTCTTGCACAGAACGGCATTCAGATTTAACTCTATATTCAGGAAATGACTGACCTGGCCTGCTTTGGGGATGTAAGAAAGTGAGGAAAAAAAATTGCTATTCTTCCTGAATACTGTTAGCACAGGCAGCAGCAAACATATGAAAAATAATGGCCCTAGAGGCATTTTGCTCTCTGTCCAGGGTCAATAAATCCAAGCAAGCTGAGCGTGAAGATCTGCCACCTCAGTTGGATTTATGTCACCATTTATGGTAGCAACAGCCTTCACTGTGACTCTTTCCTGAAGATTACAAGGACGGGAATTGCAAGCCTCTAAACAATTTCTGTGTGACAAACAAGGAAGCATCCTTGTCATATGATTAGCACTTAGAAAGGGGGAGGGGAAACATGAAGGAATAAAGTGAAACATGGGACACTCCTAAAGGAGCTTGTAAGCAGCTTCTGTTTCTCAGATAAGTTAACTCCTTCTCAGACTTGGCCTTAAAGAGCCAAGAAAAAAGAACAATATAAAGAGGAGATGGGAAAGCATTCTCAGGGACGTTTCTAATATCCCTTCTCCCTAGTGTGGAGACTCAAAACAAAACAACACCAAAAGCGACACATCTGTGATGAAGAAAAGCATGTTTTTCAGTACAGACACTTGCAGTTTTTGTCAATTCCATGCAAATGCTGTATGTCCCTACATACAGCCTGTTCTGAGGTAATACAAACAACTGGGGACATAAAAAAATTTCCCTCAGAGGAAGACAAATACTTGAGTCCAGAAGAAAAAACAGTGTAATTAGAAAACAGCAGATAAACAAATATTAGAAGATTATTTGAAATAGTACACATCCTGTAACTACTGAGGAAATCAGAGTTCCTCATCCTAAATATGTAACTAGATACATAACTTACGTGTATTAAAAAAAAAAAAATACAAACCAAAAAAATAGTATTGATAATGGTTACCTATGTCACAAATTTATAAAGAAGAGGCAGCACCATCAAACAGGCAAAGTTTTGCCAGAAAGCCTGGGCAACACAGAGAAAGGAAATGAAGCAACTAATATATCTCCTATGAATCACTGTTGTGCTCCCGAATAGAGAGATTCTGTGCACAGGAAGTAACACCCTCCACACTCCAAACAAATAAAGCATACAAAAAATCCTGCCCATACACATTTTGATCTAACTTTCCCCTCCACTGAAAATGCATTTGGACAGTCACTAGAAAAAAAAGAGTAAACTAAAAATATTTGGACTTCATGTCAGTTGCATTTTAGTTGTACTTTTAGTTCTTATTTACCTGTATTATACCAAGCCATTAGGAAGTCAAATTCTAATGGTTTCTTTTCTTTCAAGGCCCAAAGCACTCTGTTATGTTTCTTGCTCTCAGGGTGAAAGCCAGCATCAGTCAAGTCAATAGTGATAACTGCAGAAAACACACAATAGCTATTGCTACCCAATTAAAATAAATTGTATTATTAAATTAGAAGAGCACAAGAAACCAAAGAACATTAAACTTCCTCTTTACATCTACAGAATCTTTACAAAGTATTTGATTATGCAAATATGACTCCCCATTATGTAAATAAATATTCACCTCATGCTGTCCTCATTTTGATATAATCTGGAACTGCTTCCTCGTGACTAGAGGAACAGATTCTTCTTCAAATGGCACTGACAGAAGACCCTTAACAGTGCCTTAAAAAATATCTTGGTAATTAGGCAAGCTATTCGCAGTAACAAAAAAGCAAACAAACAAACCCAAAAAAACCCACCAAACTAGAATTCCTAACAACAAAATTCATGTATACAGCAATGATACCTTTTCAGTAAGTTGGTTTTTTCCTAGGTGAATTGTTAATGCATAAGTTATATTTATTTTTCAAATGGAAACGTGATGATACATTTTGATGATCAGAATGGTAAAATGATGTCCCATCTTGCCAAAGTACTTACTAGAGATAAAAACTTTCCCCTCCTAAAGTTTTCATGCAATTATACCTATCAACTGTTGCAAGTACCAATACATTTGAGATGGCACAGTGTTCATGTTTGGATTTTTTTATTTCCTAAAAAGACAAACTAATAAAATTCACACTCAAGATGTCTCCTCTGCAGCTGTTAAAAATTATGTTTTTCAAGTACTTGGTACATAGAGATTACCATTTTAGATGTGTGAAACATAGTACAGTTCTGCCTTTCAAGCATGCAGTCTTGGGTGAGGCTCTTCACTGATTTTGTACAGTGCACACATTTTAAACACCTCCTTAATCAGTTTAAAATTTTCTGACTTAAATCAGAAGGTATAGACACCATGCAGAGTATGCAAAAATTCTTAAGTACTACATCACTCCAGTAGAAACTACACAATGAGAACCCTTGAAATTAAAACTTGTATAGAGTACTGAAAAGGTGATGTATTTGTGTCCTTAAAGCTACTTTACTACTTGGAGAAAGAGTACTTTCTCTCTTCAGGCACTCCTTGTATTTGCATCTGGAAAAATATAACGTAGACAACAACTAATTATAGTGAAAGGGAAGTTTCAACAGCCAACAAGGTGCTTCTTAAATAAGCCCCGTTTATAGAAATACTTACTATATCGCATTACTTTTTTGCCTGAATACCGAGAAGGGCGACCTTGCAGTCCAAGTTCCTCATAAGTATCCTTATCCACTGACAGAATTAGTTTACCTATAAACAAACCAAATTTTAATAGAAATAATCTTCTACTTGGCTCCCCTTGAAGTCTTTGAAGAACTGTATACCTTTTACAATGTTAGCTTCGGATGAATGGTATTACTAATGTAACCCAGACTCCTTAGTTCCAGTTAAATGGATTACCAGATTAATCCTTAAAAAATAAAAAGGTTATAACTCAATTATTCTCTTTTTATCAAAGAGGTCTTGTGAACTAGAGTGAGAAAAGCATAATATTATTCCTGAGATAATCATAGCTTTTTTACTGTACTATACAGTTCGTTGTCTCCATTTTTCCTCCACTCAGCCTCTAGCACTTGTTGTATCATTAGCTGAGCACTACATTGCACAAGGGCCTGATTTAGTAAACATTCATGTTCAACATGCACTGCTCAACTAAATAAACAAAAGCAGTTCCTCCAAGTCCAGTGGGACTACTTACACTGAGTAAACTACGCCTGTTAGTGATGAGCTGATACATGCTGGAACAACCCTGCTTCTGTTCTCATAAAGCAGAACTGGCTGCTGCTGCTTGGTACAGAAGTACACAACAGCTCCCTCTCTAACACAGTCCTTGGGCTCTACTGCACAAGTGACAGCACAACACCAAACACAAACAAGAAATACTGCAGAGTTCAGACAGTGACATCACCAGGAATTGTAACACTGCCTCTGCAACAATTGTGCAGCTTGTAACACTTGTATCACACAAACTCCATCACTATCAATTATCCATTTTGCCAGGACTGTGCTAACAGACATATAAATAATTCTTCAGAACAATCTGAATTTACTCATGCCCTCATTGGCACCCATCATATTACAGCTTCTCACGCTGGAGGGCAGATAGACCGGTTTGTATTTCTATCATATCTTATATACTGTTAAACAGAAATAAGATGATGTAGTTGAAGCTCAAAATAACTTCATTTTCTCACCTGAGATGTGGGACATTTTATGATGTCGTATTACAAAACTGTGATACAATTGAAACAGACTTTTAACGTGTTACATAGTTCTCAGGAAATCACAGAATCCTCACAAAATCATCAAACGGTTTGGGTTGGAAGGGACAGTAAAGATCATCCAGTTCCATCCCCTCTACCATGGGCAGACACAGCTTCAGGTTGCTCAGGAGCAGGCTGCTCAAAGCCCCATCCAACCTGGCCTTGAGCACTTCCAGAACTTCTATGGGCAACCTGTACCAGGGCCTCACCACACTCACAGTAAGGACTTTTTTCCTAATGTCCAATCTAAACCTACCCTTCTCCAGTCTGAATTCATTCCCCCACATCCTACTACTACATGACCTGTTAAAAATGTCCTCTGTGGTTTGCTTTCAGGCAGGAGCTCTGATTCTCCCCAGAGCCATCTCTTCTCCAGGCTAAACAAGCCCAGTTCTCCCAGCCTATCCTCACAGGAGAGGTGATCCAGCTCTGTAAGCATCTTTGTGGCCTCCTCTGGACTTGTTCCATCAGGTCCGTGTCCTTCCTGTGCTGGGGACCCAGAGTTGAATGAAGTACCCAAGGTGGGGTCTCAAGAGAATAAACACTTAAAAAGTGTTCCTAAGCAGTGCTGATAATTTTCTTTTTTGGTACAAAATTCTGTCTTAAAGACCAGTAGGAAACAAGAAGTTGGAATTTAATGTTTTCACAAAGATAATTCCCTGTAGCAATTGCAATTATCGTTGAAGCACTGACAATCTGACTATACATAAATGAAGCTGATTTTTATTCCTTTTAATTTCCTTTATATGAGATAAAAAAAAATTAACAGCATGAATGAAAAAAGAGAGCTAAAATTAGTATTTTCCCAATTCACATGTATTTCTAACAAAGTTATCAAGTACAGTAAGCATTATTTCTCAGTTTACATCATTCCAAATTAAAAAAAAAAAACAAAAAACTGTTTTTTGCAAATAAGCAACTCAGACCACAGTTGACACATACCATTTGGTAGCAGAGCTGCAGTATTATCTTGATCAATTTTTGTCTTATAGGTAAGTGCGTAGCATGAACCTTTAACAGTAAAGCAGAAAAACATGAGATTAGACAGTCTGTAAAGACAGACATTACAAAATAAACAAGTCACTTCAAGACAACCAAACATGACAAACACCATCTGAATCACTCTTGTGTTTTTCATTAACTTTCTCCTACCTTCTCAAGCAAAATGGCATTGTTATTATTTTTATAAACCCCGTTCTCCTATTTTAAAGGACCTATAACAGCCCCGATATGAAAACATTTTCTTTCCTTCTGTGACCTCTGACTCTCCCCAGTCATCAAATGGAAAACACAATTTTTTCCCAGACATATTTTTATTACCAGTTCAAACAAAGGCAAAGTGGCTGGGCAGAGGCTGTAACTTTCTTTGCATCCTCTTTGCTCTTACTGGGTAAGGATGAGCTGTCACAGCTCTCTCAGTGAAATATAAAAAATAAGGAAGCATATTTTCCTCTTGCCTGCTGTGGAACACAGCTCAGCACAGCTCTGTGTTGAGACATGAAGGAACAAAAAAGGGAGAAGGAAGTTTTCTATAAGAATCTGTACAAAAGTGATGTGTAGAAGAAATAAGTGTGAGGATACATGGAAGCCCTCTTGATAGCTGGCTTTCAGAATTGAGGTGGAATAGAGAGAAATTTATCAGGAAGAATCACAGGAGTTTTGGACCCTGTGGGTGTAAACAGATCTTGTCACATGTGACAAAGCAGAAAAAAGCATATAAACAAATTAATGCAGAATTTTCTTAGTGCTTTTCCTTTCCTTCCTTTAAAACACTTTTCAGAATAAATAATAAGACTATTAAAAATTTTGCTGTGCTATAAAAAAGTACATTATGACTGTATTTGCTCTGTTTTGATTTCCTCCTTACCTTTCTTCACGAAAGCATCAATGAATTCATGAGCGACCAATTCATGAATGGGTAAACTCCTCACCAGGTAGTAATCTCCAATATCTGCAATTGTGCTTTTCAGCACTTCAGGTAGCAGGCCACATTCCGGGATCAAAAAAGACACCTGTTAGGAACATATTTGTAATATAAATCCTACCCTAAAACCTTGTCTGAAAAAAACTCCAACCAAACAAAACTACAAGAAATACAAAAGAAAGCCTCTACTTTTCAAAGATGGATCAGTATATTATATCATAATGGAATGGGAAAAAAGTAGTATCAGGCTACTGTCTTCAAAATGTATCAATTTTCATAGTCTCTAGGTACACTAAATACATTATTTGGTGGTTTGGGTTCTGTTTTTTTGTCTGTTTGTTTGTTTTTGCAGTTTTTTTCCTTTTTTTTTTTCCTATACAATAGTATTTGATGTATTATGTAAAGACATGATCTCACACAGCATGAGTTAACAGAAGATTTCGTTTCACATCATTACACATTTTAGCTTGATGTCGCACTGGGACACCTTCAGCCCTTGCTGGAGTACTTGTTAAAGCAGTTGCAACTAAAAATGTAGGCTAAGCATTTCTGTAATCTCAGTGGAAAAGCAAAGACCAAAGTAGAATTTTCAATTTACCTTTTGCTTAAAACCTTCCCCATACATTTTCCATAGACCAAGAGAACCCTGAAGTCTGGCAGAGCAGGGAAAAAAAGGTAATATCTGGCAAGTAATAGATGGGCAAGTACGAAGCTTCCCAGGCAGCATAAAGGTATGTCTCCTTGCTCCCCCCTCCATCCCTCAAAAAACTTCTTTCCCAAAGCTCTTGGAGAACAGGTGTCTATCTCCCTTGGCACATGTGTTCAAGAGAAGAAAGGACTGACAAACTAGCTGCCTTCCATGCCAGTAGAAAGCTTTCTGATTAGCTGCTAAAAAAGGTCTCAGAAGTCAGAAACAGTTAACAATTAGCCCAGAGAGTTACAGGGTATGAGAAGGGAGTTATCAAATAGGGTCTTGTCTGATTGCTGCAAAATGTGATATACCTACAAATTTTCTTAAGGAAGGATGTTCTTTGATGTTTGGCCTTTGTACACTTCCATGCCTAATCAACAAAAAGGGAGATTTAATCCATGAAATGAGAGCACAGCTAACAAGCCCTAAGTGAAGTCCAGGTCTCTTTGTTAACGTTTAGGGCTGGACATGTTTCAGTGATCTCAGACCTAGGGTGAGGTTAACAAAGCCTGGGGTGAAGGATGTACCACTGATAGTGGGCAGAAAGAACAGAGAATTTATGGGCCACAAAGACATTTGGCAGAACTCCCAAAATAAGTAAGAAACTTAATAAACCCAGCAACTCTGCTGAATCAGTTCTGAGTGGATAAAAGGCAATTCCGGCAGGTAGAGATCACGGCCACCGACCCCAGAACCCCCTGACCCCTAAGCTGAGAAAGACTGAGCATGCAGATTAATTAGCATGTGAGACTCATTAACCAACAGATGATAGTACTAATTAATGAAAGAACTATGTAACTTGTATCCAGTGAACACTAATTCCTTTGTTTGCTAAAATGCATAAATAGTGAAAAGCTTTGATAGGAGGTGTGCTTGACTTGCGGAAACCTCCGCCTTGTGCCCTGCGCGGAATAAACGATGTCTCTTTCCTAAACTGGAGCCTGCGCCCGTGTTTAAAGAGTTCCTAAAATCGGCACCATCACCTCTCCCACTGGCTCACCCCTCTGCTTCTTCGCTCCTGGAGGAAGGGAGGAGTTTGTTTCTCCCATCCTGAGCGAGACCACAAAAACAAAGGGGGGCTAATTTTCACACCCCCCCCAAGAAAAAAAAACAAACCAAAAAAACACGAGGCGCGCGGGCCACCTCTGGCAGGGACAGAGGAGCCCCCACAGAACACCGAGCCTGGGGCGAGCGGGGCGCCGGCAGCGCGCCCTGGAGCGGCTGACGGGCAGAACCCCCGGGTACGGCCGGCGTGGGCAGCCCCGATCCTATCGTATCGTATCGTATCGCATCGTATCGCATCGTATCGCATCGTATCCTTCCCTTCCCCGCCGCCCTGAGGGGATCCCGCCGAGCCCCGAGGCCGACGCTCGCGCCACTCACGCGGCAGCTGTAGGCGTGGTCCCGCACGTGCGCCGCGTGCCGCGAGCGCGGGTGGCGCGCGTGGCCGCGCTCGCACACCAGCAGGTGCCGCGGCGCGCGCCCGAGCTGCGCCGGCTGCATCCCGGATCCCGCCCGCCTTACTCCTCCTCCTCCTCCTCCTCCTCTTCCTCCGCCGCCGCCGACCGGGAGCTGCCAGACGCGGCGAGGAGGGCCGGGAAGGGGCCGTGCCGTGAGGTCACGTCCGCCGGCTCCGGCGGCGCAGCCGCTTCCGCTGTGGCGGCGGCGGGGCCGCGGTGGCCGCTGTCGCCGGTGCCCTGTCCAGCGCCGGTGGCCGCTCGGGGCTCTCGGTCCCTGCGGGCTCTGAGCAACCTCGGCACGGATCGGACACCGACCCCGCAGGGGCTGGGTGTGCATCTGCAGAGTGCGCGGTGGTTTAATCGCGGCGGTGGTGAGAGGCACCTTTTCCAACAGCCTGGAGTGACAGGACAAGGGGCAATGGCTTCAAACTGAAAGAGCGTAGGGTTAGATTAGATATTAAGATTTAAATCGTTACTGTGAGGGTGGCGAGGCACTGGAACAGGTTGCCCAGAGAAGCTGTGGATGCCCCATCCCTGGAAGTGTTCAAGGCCAGGCTGGACAGAGCTTTGAGCAGCCTGGTAGTGGAAGGTGTGTCTGCCCATGGGAGAGGGGATGGAACTGGATGAGCTTCGTTGTCCCTTGCAACCCAAAGCGTTCTCTGACTCCCGAGTAGCCCTGCAGGCTGAGCCCGGCCCCGCAGGCGCCGAGGGCTGAGCTGCCGGGCCCCGGGGCGCCTCTCCTGTTGCTCTGCTCAGGCACCGCACAAGAGCCACGGAGTGCGATCCTGCCTCGGATGTGTTGTGTTGTCTCGCCGCTCCTTTTGTACGTTGTACATTTCACACAAAGCATACACAAAAATTCCGGCTTTTCCGCCTTCCTGCAGTGTTTATTTTGCCGGTCCCCCGGCTTCGTGGCTTCCAATTAAATTTAAAATGGCACCGAGCAACTTTCTGGGTAGTTGCCGTTTCTGTAGCCAGCAGAGTCGCGGAGTGCAGCGCTTCTGGCTCCTTAGGCTGACTCAGCCCCTGGTGTTTCAGGGCATTAACTTCCTGAGTGCCCGTGTGCTGGAGGGACACCGGGACATTGCTGCTGCTGCTGCTGCTGCTGCTCCGAGCTCGGAGGTTTGTGCCCTGCACCGAGGTGAAGCCGCACCTCGAGAGGTCCCTGGCTCGTTAACGCCGCGGAGGAAGGCTGAAGTCTGCACTGCCCGTATAAATCAGATTGACTGGATTATTACGAATCAAATAAAGGCCGTGTAAAATCACAGTAGCCTTCTAAGCATGCAAGCATTAATGGGGAAGGAGTGACATGATTAATGTCAGTTATTATCGCATCCTCCGTGGGCAGACGAGCCTCGCACTGCGGCGATCAGAAAGCCTGTGGTACTAAGGGGTGAAAAGTTCAAGCCTCTGATCAATAAACCCAGAGAGCCAGGCAGGAAAATTCAGCTATATTCAAAGCAGCATGTGGAGGGTTTGTTTACTGTTTGTTTGATTTGATTTTTTTTTTTTTTTTTTGGCGGGGAGGGGCTGTTTTTGTGGGGTGTGTTGGGGCTTTTCATGTGCCTCTCTATGCTAATACACTTTATGCTTTCTACTGAGGATACGAATGGATGGGAAGAGAATTGAGGAAGAAATATGTTGGGGAAGGGTCAAGAGAGTCAAGATGCATGGTTGTGTATTCAGAGTTAAGTCAGTATTTTATGGATTCTGGCAGGAGTGTAGCTCACTGCAGCACAGTGGAGCACTGAAGGATTTGCATCACTGTTCAGCCAGTTTGGTTCATATGTCAGGAAATTAATTTTAACCCACCATTAGTTATAGATATTGGCTGTCCTATTATAGAGTATGTGTGTTTTAGAGAACTCCCTGAAGACACTGAACTACATTAAAAAACCCACTTAAAAGTCCAGTAGTCTGTGTTGTAACATACAGAATTTCCCTATCTTTAAGTGAGACATAAATCATGTATATATATGTATGTGTCTATACTAATTGTTGGTTAATACTGACATTTTTATAGTAATTGTTACAGTTTTATGAGTAATTTGGTATGGGATTTCTTTATATTGTAAACAACAAACAAACAAAACCCCAAAAAACAAAAACAAAAAACCGCACCAAAACACAAAAACCCCAAACCCTTTTAAACTTTAAATACTTTAAATAATTTAAGGCGTAAAGCTATCACAATTTTCCTAAGGATTTAAAACCTGTGACAGGGTAATGCAGTTTTACAGCAATTCAGTTTCTGCATGCTTCATGACAGTTACAGGATATAGTAAAGAGGAAAGGACTGTCTTGAGGCAACTTGTAATAAGTTGGAATACAGAAGGATCTCTCAAATACTTTCTGGGAGTGGTGAAATTTGATTCTGATTTTGTAAAAAATGACTGAGTTTGGAAAGAAAAGTTGCATCTTCACATTATTTACAGTATCTCTTTTTGTGAAGCCCTGCTTCTTGTATATACTTTTTTCACTATGGAAGAAAAATCTTAAAAGCTGGATTTTATGATTTTAAAACAACATTATTACAATACTTAGAGTTTCATTAAATCAAATCTAAACAAGTATTTGTCACAGACCTTTGATATTGGTTTGTGTCTTTAAGATGAATCAAAATATTTTTCCTTTCAGTCACTTTTTCTTTCTTAAATAGTTTTGACTGCAGAAGAGAAGGAAGGAAGTTGTCTAAATCTTTTAACCTTGGCTATTACAATGAGTAATTGTCAAAACAGAAACAAACAGGTACCTGTGGTGCTGTGTTCATCTAAAAATAAAAGGCATAAGACTGAAAACCAGCATTTACTTGATCAGCACCAACTGGTTTTTTTTTTCATGGAAGAGAGTGGAAAGATGGTGAAGATGTGGACAGTTAGCTTTATAACCTGTGTTTTACATACTTTAGTCCATATATTCAGAGCAGTGATGGACTGTAAAAAAGGTCCCTCTCAGACTTGCTCTTTAAGGGGCTTACAGACAAAACTCTGCCGAGCTACTCCCCAAAGCAGCCATTCAAGCCAGGAAGATCAGTGAATGCTAACCATGGACCAAGTTGTTTGATTTGATTTAAAATGCCATTAACAACCTCCAACCAACCAACCAACCAACCAACCAACCAACCAACCAACCAACCAACCAACCAACCAACCATCCAGTCTGTTTTCCTTGGAGTTAAGCCCTCAGACATCTGGGAAACCTCCTACTCAGTTTTGTGGTATTACAATTGCAGAAGAAATGAGAGGGATAATTCCTCCAACAAGGTTCTGGGGAGCAGGAGTGTGTTTCATCTATATTCAAGCAGGGTCATCCCTTCCACTTGCCTCCCAAGGATCAGATTTTGTCAGGGCCCTGCATGATACTGGGGAATTTTCACACAGTTTCTCTCTCCTCCTAAACAGATTAATTGTCCTTTACATAATGGCTAATATGAGGCACATGTACTCTGTTTTCTTGCAGTAGGTAACAAACTGTGGCCATGTTCCTCTGGTTGCCCCTTCATCTGCTGGGAAACATCCTAGGGAGCACTTCCACACCCACCTTGACCTTCCATGGGCAATAAAGATGTCCTTCTCCTTGTGCCATAACAAATGGGGAAAATGTTGCATTTTCCATTACAAAGGTCTCCTCTCCTGGTGTGACAGATAACAGGCACCATTTCCCCTCAGACTGAATAACCAATTAACACCATGGTGTTCAACTCATTGTAGCAGTTTTGTTCTCAATCTGTACATAGTTTTCCCCATTATATGAGCTGGTGTGCTAAAGGATATTAATTGTCCCTGCAGGAATTGTCTTGATAATATCCTTAGAACATTTTATTTCTAGTAACATTAGTGCTGCTCCTGGAATTGCTTCAGATCACACTGTTACTTGAATGCACCATCATGAAGATACAGAATGCAAAGCAAAGAGAAAATATAACTAAGCATTCCTTCCTGTCCATATCTTAAAAAAAAAAAAAAAAAAAAAAAAAAAAGGTAAATGGTGGCACAGAAAGTTAAAAGTAGGATAAAAGTAGGATGCATTTTCTCTTAAGATGAGTGCAGAATACTTCCTGTTCAGCTCATGCTTCCAGACTGCTTCAAGGAGAGGATTTGCCATTTCCACCAATAAAGTAGTAAAATTTCTTGTACCTGTTGTTCTTTCTGTTGCGTATTACTGCATATTATTAACAAGTCTTGAGA